GCTCTCACCTCAGGCCGCGCCGCCATCTTGTGCTGCGGGGCCGGTGCGCCCTGCGCTCCCCGGGGCAGGACCCCCGCCCGTGGGCTAGAAAATACTCGTTTATTGATAAATCTCGTTTAAAGGAGTAGCAAGTCTCCTCCTCTCAGCTTTGTATACACAGCAGCTGGTATTAGTTACTGTGCATACCCCTCCTTGAGAAGCTAACAGCGCCTAAAGCCGGTCCCTGCCGGGTACAGGCTGCGCCTCCTGACTGGGAGCCGGGTGATTGCAGCTGTGGCTGCGTGGTGCTCTTGCTGAAGCTGCTGCTGTCCTTTCTGATACGCCACAAACCCACTGAACAGAACAGACGTGGGAAGATCCCCAAACCAGATGGCACTCGAGGTCTCTTTCCTCAAGAAGAGTGAAGGAGAAGGATTCCTTACAGACCTCCCTCCCCTGCTTCCCGGCGGGGTCCCTCCCATTGGAGAGAGTCCTGCACAAACCTCTACAACACTAGTCCTTATCTCCTGAGTCCTCAGCTGAAGGTTTTGCTTCCTGGTCAGACATGGCTCAGCCCTGTTGCGTGTTCTCGGCTCATAAAAGAGACAACTGGGTGCACAAATAAACCACAAGAGAAAAATCAACATATATTAATTCAGGATAAGCTTGGTGGTATCTGACATTTGAAGTCCCACCTCACAAGCTGACCATCTGCAATATCATCAGGCCAACTATTTCCAGCCGTGCTGCTCTTCTGGCCATTGGATAATGTTCATAACACCAGCTGCTCTCTGTTTGAAGAACACAGAGCTCAGCTTAGCCACAACTAGGCCCAAAACAGAGATAAAGAACGGACAGATAAACAAAAGAGTTCGCTTGGTGAGAAAAGGGCGTTTGTGGTTTCCTTTTATTTTTCAATGAGAGATTTTGAAGGTACAGCAAAAAAGTTAAATTAGTGTATCACCCTTGCCACATAACAGGAGAGGGGTTGGGCTAGCAGGACTTTGGGTCAGTCCTGGAATGGCTATGTTCACTTTGTGAAGGTCACTTTTTACACTCACTTGGCCATATCAGCAAATTAAGACCTGAGTGGGTATAAGTGGAGTAAAGGCAGGCAGTAGATCTGCATTTCTCAAAGCAGATCATACAAGCAGCAGCTCTACTGGAGGCACAGGCCATGACACCTGCCAGGTAGATGCCCTCAGAAATCAAATCCAACTTGAAGAGCCCTGCAGATGGAATGAAAGGTGGGGAGGAACTAAGCTTGGTGCTTGTTTTGCCACAGAATTAAGGAGAATGGCCATAAGCATCTAATACTGCTAGGAGAGGCCATTCCCATACTCCAGGCCTCCCCCCTCACTGGCTACCCACCTGGCTTTCCACTGCTACAGCAGACACCATAGGTGGCAGAACCCTGTCCACTGCCTTTACCTCTTGTACCTGGCTAGGCACATGGCTAACTTTAGACTTTGGAAACAGAGCTTTGAAATGAAATAAGGAAGAGAAAGCACAGCATATATTCTGTAAATGCCAGGGTTTTTCCTGGGACAAATCTATGTCTTGTGATAATATATTTGCTTTTATGTTTTCTTCAATAATGACAAAGAGAAGCTACATTATGATATCTCATAAACCCATTCCTGTTGTTTACCAGGTAATGAGTTAATAACATGAGAAGTACATTCCCATGGAAGGCAATGGCTCATTGCATTGAGAACTACAGCCTGCAAACCTTCCTAATCTTCAAAATCCAGTAGCCTCTCACTGAGTTATTAGTCGTCATGATGCATTGACTACCATCAGCAATCCTGTGCAAAACATGCCCTGCATCTTCTGGAAGGACAACAGCAGGATTTAGTAAGTCATGTTGGGATTTCTTGGCTATTAAAGTTTCTGCTAATACTGCAAGAGAAAACATAGCATTGATGAGAGGACAAGTAGCAGGACCCTTGCTGTATGCCATAAACACTGCAAGTGGAACTCCAGATAAACTTTTGGGAGGTATCAGGTCAAGTCTAGTTTTTCAGTGTTCCATACTGTGGAATGCTGGAACAGTAGAAGCTGATAGCTTCTTTTATAAGCCATTAGATCCATCAGAAAACCCAGTGAATAGTCTCTGCCTTGTTACCAAGTCTTCAGTATTTAAAACTAGCCAGTCAGCTGTGAAACTCAATGCCTAGAAGTGTAAAAGAATCATTTAGATTGAAACCAATAACCCAATCTGGAGGTACAGGTTTAACCTCTTCTGTTTGTTTTGTTGTGTTTTTTTTTTTCCTTTTTATTTATCTCATCTCAGCAGCATTGTTTCTAAGCAACAGCAGAAAGCTGCAGTCCTCCATGAAGCCATAACCTAGTTTCCCTGGCACACAAACTAAGTGGCAGAAGAAAGGAACAGCAACATCAAGCAACATCTTCTTCCTAGATACCTGAAGTCAGAGGGTCCAAATCCAGATCCTGAGAGCTATTTCAAGACACAGGTACTGCATGATTTCTTGTGTGCACAAATAAGACAGAGAATAGGGGGACAATATCCAGGAACACAGAGAACCTACTAGGTGTGTGTATTATGGAGCAGACAAGTGAAGCGTGTGCTTTGATATTACAATAAATGGGTGGGCTAGGGGCTGGTTTCTCTTTGCTGTGTCCTATCAGCTGTTACTCCATCTCTTCCAGTCCATCCCCTCTTTGTACCACATAGATCAAATTAATACACACACAGTGGGGAGAGCAAGCCATGTGCTAAGAAACTCTGAAGCTGCAGCAGGTGAATAGATTGCATTAAATGAGAGAATATACATCACTGTGATGAGGATGCAAGCAACATACAAGCTGATACTTGAGACCCATGCTTATCTTAAATGGGCTCATGCTGCCCATTTCCCATTACCAAACTCCTTACCCTCACTTCCAGTAGTGTCTATCATCTTCTCTTTCTTGACTGTATTTGGTCCATGCAAAACTGGACACAGCAGGCAACCCTAGACAAAAAGGAGATACTTACTCCAGCTTTACTGATCAGATCTCACCTTGGCCCCACAGTTTTCACCAGTTAAAACTCTTTAATCCTATCTTGCCCTGACACCAATACCTGCACATAGCCCCAGTCTTAAAGTGGTATTCTACATCCAAACATACTTAAAAGGCTTTCATCATTGCAAGCATTACACACACCTTGCAGAATCTAGCCCACAGCTTTTGACATCTTTTGCCCTTTAGGTGTGTTAAAGTCCACCAAAGAAGAGGTACCAGTTCAATGGTGCCAGTAACTCCCAGCTTTGGCCATGGCACTGGTAATCTATTGGCCCCTTCTCCCACCAGCCTATTGATTAGACTGGTGTGCTATGAGCAATAAAGTGGAAGGAATCTCCTGCTGCATAATGCATTTGGATCCTATAATATCTGTGCCTTTAAAAAAAATGTATTTTAAACTCAAGTTTGTGCCTTTTGCCCCATTAGTGATAGCAAAGTAGCTCCAGCCTTCTCTCTTTGAACAGAGCAAAAAGCTGAAATATTCACCTCTTCCTCTAATTTATAGTGCACAGAGAGAGGCAGAAGGGCATTCCAGCTACTCGCAACTTCACTAAAACATAACCCAGCTCCTGGGCCTTTTGTACAGTGCTTTAGAGAGGGGCATTCCCACCAGTGTGTTCCAATTATAATTAATGTGGAGTGGGGAAGGAGGCTATGCAGGTCCAAGGAGATATAGCCAATTTACAAGGGACTTGCCTATGTTCCGACCAAGTTTATCTAGCAGCATATACTTAGTCAAAGAAGTGTAATTGCCCTTTAAAAAATAGAAGTGGTATTATAATCTTGAATTTATTACTCAAGTCACAAGAAAATATTCTGTATGGCCCAGCTATTTAACAAAACAGCATTTGTGCTCTAATATATAGATAGCATAAATAAAGTCTGTGTTACTGAAAATGTTTCCCAAGCAACCATTAAAAGTTGCTGTGGAATTGTAATCAGACTATAGTAGATGATTCACATATAATTCACAGTAGGTTTGGTGCACTTTGTTTTTTAATCTTTTTGCCCCTTTCATACGTAGCTGTAATATTAATGACAGACTGTCACCTGGTGTCTGGAAAGAGCAAGAGCTAACTCCAGCTCACAGTTAAAAGCATCAGAACAGCCTTATCCAAAACATCTCTTGGTTGAATTTTCCCACATCAAGAACTAGAAATACCACTAGATGCCATGCAGGGGCATTTCACACCATGCTTATTTGAAGGAGGGATCTTTCCCTCTGCTACTGGGAGAAGTGGGTAGATCAGTTCACTCTCCTTCTGCTGCAAAGATTACACTAAATGTTTATCCTGTCATGCTTCTTATGAGCAAGAATCCTTTTCTCTAGGTATTTGCAGCTCAGAATATTTTTAGAAACCTCCTTTTGGAGTTCATACCGTACATCACAGAGGAGTGATGTTTTCTTGGAAGTTTTCCAGCTACTCATGCTCTTTCCCATGGTCAGGTTTTTTGAATTTATTTTTTTTTTTCTTCTGGGTGGGGATGAGTTAGTGGGTTTTTTTGCCTTGATTTATATTCTGATGTGATGCAAGCAGAGACAAAAAAAGAATAGGAACAGTTTCTCTTCATCTTGCATTACTGTGCACTTGCCTAGATCCTGTCCCTAGTAGAATCAGGAATACTTCCTTGATGATCATGAGGTAACAAAGTCCACAAAATCTTCTGAAGAGCAAGAGAAGCTATTTTTATCAGGACCTCCAGTTTCTATTTTAGTTGTGGTGGTTAAGACATAGCTGCAGGGTGAGAAGCAATGGAATAATTTATTATGCGAAAATGCTCCCTTATATCCTTTTGCAGTGGGAAGTGAGAATAAGCAACCAGGGTACAGAGAGTGTAAACAGCACTTACACCTGCTCCTTGGCACATACACAGTCCTTGGGCTCCCAGGATGTAGCCAATCACACACCGAACACACAATTAACAGTGTTCTGATTTTTGTCAACATTCACAGTGCTGCTCACAGCAAGACCTTGCCCTTAGCTGGTCTCATTGTTTATCTACTACTTTACAGATAGAGGTGGCTTTTTTTTTTCCCCAGGGCTATTCTCCACATTTAGCCAACAATGCTGTTTAGTTTTAATAATGAGTTTATGATCATTCCCACTCTATGAGAAATGAACAGAAATGCTTTGCTGAATTTGGAAAGGGGATTTTATTTCGCAAAGCCCTCATTGGTTTAAGAAGTTAAATCTACCATTTTAATTTAAAGTAAATCATAAAGCACAGCTTATTCCTCAAGAGTTGTAGGCTGAAAGAGCTGGAATCCCAACCCATCTCAAAATTCTACTTCTGTGAATCTCAGGTTTAGTTATGTTCTTTTTTTCCCCCTCCAGTTTCTCAAAGTAAAATGGTGGAAATTCCTGTTATTCCACATCAGTTTTGCAGCCTTGGCAATTAGTTTTACCAAAAAATATATATAGATACTTAGGGAGCCTAAGTTACTTCCTAGTGAGACTTAGGATCAAAAAGACTTTTGATTCATGATAAGCACCATCCTAGCCTGAGATGGACATAACTGTTGCTATCCCCACTGCCTGCCACTTCTCAAGAGTTCCCTACCCCAGTAAATGCAGGGCTATAAAATGCAGCAATTCATCTACTGTGTGGCCAGCTGAAATGTCTGGGATAGGCACTTTAAGAAGCTGGGTAAGCCAAGCAGCCAGGGCAAAAACTGCCAGCAAAGCTAAGTTCATTTATCCATCACAACCTCTGAAGCAGTTATCTTACTTTACACTGACTACAAAAGAGCATGCCCATTAGGCTTGGCACAGAGCTGTGGCAGACATACTAATCTATGAATTGCTGTGCTTCCAGGACCACTGCATTCAGCCTTTCAATCTCTCCCTGCATCCATTTTCCATGCTGACTGCCCCTGAAGCTGCAGAGTATACCTGGAAACAACGTGAGTATATTTCACCCCAACTCTCACAAGGCCAGGGCAGGGGAACATGGGACAGCATCACCTGGCCACCAAGTTACAGCCTGCTGAGCTCCAACAGCTGCACATGGAAAGGATAGCGTAAACCTTGGTTTGTGCCTATTCTTTTTCAGAGTGGGAGGTACAGTCATGTTCTCACTGTGTCTAGCTCAGGCTCCTGAAGTTCATGACGATTGCAAAAGGAGCATTTTCCTCAAGTTGAGGTGAACAATAAGATAATACATTTCTAGTAGAGTCAGCCTTCATGTGTGACAATCACTTGTTTGTTCTTATGCTTGGACTATCACTAGGACTTTTGCAAAAGTCAGTTATGCTACTGGCCAGTGAAAGAGCTGCTCCCTTTTCCCTGCTTCTTCAAGTCTAGTAAAAATGAGAGTAACTTCAGGACCACTAGACAATTTGAAACTGGGACCCCTTTCCTCCAACTATGTGTTGCAACTGATCCCACACAGTAGGTCTGGTGATACTAAGCACAAGATGATGCAAGGCTCTTTGTTCCTCCCAAGGCATCAAGTACCAGGCAGTGGCAGCAGATCGTAAGACAAAACCCTTGTGCAGCAAGGAGAGCTAAAAAGCACAGCAAGCAACTGGACTCACTGACCAGAGGAAAGCAACAGGTTGACAAAGTAGGTCTGAAGAATTCACACAAGGCAGTAAAACAGTTTTTGCAATACAACCACTGAGTGTCACAGGTAGAGCAGCACCTCAGGCCACCCAGAGCCCTCAAAGCCTTTCCTGTCTGCCTTTCTCAGCACTTTTTAGCATGAGATGTATCATAGTAGCACTAACAGCCAGCAGGGCAAAGGAGGTGATTCTGCCCCTCTACTCTGCTCTGGTGAGACCTCACTTGGAATACTGTGTAGAGCTCTGGAACCCTCAGCACAGGAAAGATCTGGACCTGTTGGAGAGGGTCCAGAGAAAGGCCACAAAGATGGTCAAAGGCCTGGAGCACCTCTGCTACTAAGGAAGACTGAGAGAGTTTGGGCTATGCAGCCTGGAGAAGAGGAGGCTCTGGCCTTCCAGTACCTGAAGAGGGCCTGCAGGAAAGCTAGGGATGGGCTTTTCACCAGAGAGGGTAGTGATAGGACAAGGGGTAATGGTTTTAAACTGAAAGAGGGGAGACTAAGACATCAAAAGGAAATTCTTCACCATGAGGTTAGTAAAGTACTGGAATAGGTTGCCTAGAGAGGTTGTGGATGCCCCCTCCCTGGAGGTGTTTAAGGCCAGGTTGGATGAGGCTTTATGCAACCTGGTCTGGTGGGAGATAGCAGGCAGGTTAGAACCTCATGATCTTTAAGGTCCTTTCCAACCCTAACCATTCTAGGATTCTCATGTGTAAAATAGCGTCCATCTTAAATTGGAACTTCAATGGCTACTGTATCATACCTTGGCAGGAGGTGTCACTCATGAGTTAGAAAAGTCAACTCCAGTAATACCCAGCATACACTATCATTTTTAGGTTAAAAAGAAAGTTGAAGACTTTTTAAAAATTAACAAAACTTGACTCCATGAAGAACCCAGTAATGTCAGATTAGCCTAGCATGTACATGAATTAGGCTCTGCCTTTCTATGTGTCCATAATTTGCTAAAGCCTGTTATTTAATGCCACTGCACTAAGCAGGTGAGCTAAGAAAACATTCCAGCAGCAAGGCTGGATTTGACCAAGTAGAGTAGAAGGGCTCCCTCACAGCCCTCAGTTTGGTGTGCATCCCATGTCATGTAGCCAGGAGGGAAGCTGATCTGCCACACAGTCCCCATCTCCCCTGATGCATTTGGCCCTGCATGCTGTGCTTGTGCTTATTAACATTTGCATCCCGCAGGGAGCTGCAGAAGCCAAACAAGGAATCTCTACGAAGAAGTCTGGAACAGATTCAAAAGCAAGGAAAGTGAACGAAGGAAAGACCCAAAGACCCAGAGTTCATGTACCTCACTTAGCTGTAGGTGAGCTAACTGATGTCTTCTTCCTTAGCTTTGGTAATACATTTGTGACTCATGTTATGGGGGGGGTTTGTTTTTAAATCTTAGCAGTCATTGCTTCTTTCCCACTCCTCACACTTGGATGCAGCACTTGAGAGGCAGGGAGTACATATTTCCCCTGGTCCAAAGTGCTATGCAACTCCCACACATGATCCATAGTGGGGCAGGAATGAGCTTTCCTGCATGTGACATGAGGGTTCTGACTCTCAGGATGATCCCATTTTCTTCAGCTCTCTCCTTTAATCATCCTGCTTTCTTGTCTTCTTAAAGGACTTGGCTAAAGAACAAGCCTCTCCCTGTAGGAGTGTGCCAGTGTAGCACTGAAACCTGTCTTCCACTCCCTATTTGTAGGTCTCTAATGGTTTGCCTGTTATGTCCATGCTGTGCGTGTGCCCAAGAACACTCCCTCATTTCCTAGATGGGCTGTCACAATGCTCATCCTTGTACTAACTCATGATACAGACATCCATCCAAAGCATGGTTACATATCGTACAGCTGCATTAAACCTTGGAGATGGTCCTATGCTCTAGTGCAAAAGACCTGCTAAAGGAAAAACAAACACTTGTGAAGCAAAACTGTTTTTCTTCTACCCACTGTTTCTCAGTCTGAGCCTACTTACGGAGATGCCAAAAGACAGCACTACACAGGAAAGCCTGGGAATAGTTAAACTTAATCAAGGATTCAAAAGGTCTTTCAGAAGTCTTATGGACTCAAAGCTTGCTTTCAGCTCACCAGGTTCACAGCTATTTTTTAATTTTAACATCACTTATCACAAATGTCCTGTTTAAAATCAGTCTAAAATAAAATATAGTTGCTGCAAACACCTGTTCTTTCAATCCTGAGCTGTCCATGGGGAAGAATCTAACCACAGCTTGGTACATTCAGAAACTGAAGATTAACTGGTGTGACTTTGTCCCAGCATTGATGGGGCTTTCTCAGCTATACAATACATCCCCCACTTCTCTTTCAAGCCAGGTAAGCCAAAATTCAAGGCATCAGGGGGTCAGATAAGAAGACTAGAGTGGATTTAAAATCAACAGCAACATCACTCTCCCTTTACACAGAAACTCATTACCCATAAATTTCTGCAGCATCAGCTGTTTTGATCTGGTTAGTTGCCTCTGCAGGAAGCAGGACTGCTGGAACACACTGTCCAATTCCATTTAGCAGTTCCTACATCTCTGCCATGGCCTTTGTTCACAGCTGGGAGAGGTCTGCCCTGTCACATTCAGCACAGGCTCTTTCCTGGAGCTCAGCATCCATCAGGTTCTAAACAGAGGCTTGTGGTCTTGCAAACAAATTCAGTAGAAAAGTAGGCAGCAGCCAGTGCCAGAACCTGAGCAAATTTCATTCCAAGTCAAAACAGCATCAGTCTGACCCTTTGAAAGCCAAAGGAGGGATAAATTGTACTTTGAAATGAGGTCATTAGAAGAGAAAAGGAGAGGATATTGCTGCTGAGCAGGAGTAGAACAATGGCAAGGGAGTGGTTAAGATTAAAGAAGAGGAGAGAGATTAACACCTCATGACTGATTTTTGTTCACTGACCTGCAATAACATAGAAAGTAAGACTTGAACAAATAGGTGATCGGCCATGTTATTCCAGTGCTGGTTTTGCGACTAGAGTAATTCCATTGTCTTCACTTTTCATTGGCTAGTAATTCTTGGATTTTATAGATAAGGCTGGTGAAGTAAGGAACAGAAGTAACCTAGAAAGCTCAGAAGAATAAGGCTAAATATACTACACAGGACAGGAGGTATCTAACCTGTTTGGAAATGATGGGTGTACACTAGCCCTGTTGTTTAATATGGATCCAGTTAGAAAAAAAAAAAAGCAGTGAATTGGTTTGTGATGGAGGTGGTCTGAAACCACATTAAGAGAAAAAAGCAGTGTAATGTCCACAGATACATTTCCAAAGATCAAAAAAACCAGCAGGCACCCACCTACCTCTGAATGAAGTGAGTCACAAGTCTCAATTGACTACACTAGATGAATATTGCTCTACTATTATATAGTAAACACACATAAAGAGAATTGCTGAGGGTTGAAAACTCTTAAAATACCTCAAAAACATTTTCCAGAAGACATCTGGTAAAATAACACTCATGGTGAGCATGGACATACTGGAGAGCCCAGCAAAGGATGACAAAGATAACAGGGGCACTGACATATGGGGAGAGGCTTCAAAATGCTTATGGTTCATTCTGTTTGGAAAGATGGGTGTACACTAGCCCTGTTGTTTAATATGGATCCAGTTAGAAAAAAAAAAAAGCAGTGAATTGGTTTGTGATGGAAGGATGTGCTATCCATTGCCCCAGAAGACACTCCTGTCTATTTCCTTTCTTTCTACAGCACTGAAAGCCCTTCTTTTTGGCCTGAAACCTTGTAAGCAAAGCTGCACTCCACTAAGTCCCCCAAACCTTGCCCTGTTCTTCCTCCTTACAGCCACAAATGTTAGTTTGTTCCACTAGAAGTAAAGACTATATAGATGCAAATAGAGCTCTTTTAAATAAATTAGGCCTATAAAGGTGTTTATCTGCACATCAAGTTAACTGATTAATCATGTGGACAAGGTCTTTACATGCTTGAATGAGTTTCCCCAACTACATGAAGATTATATATATATATATATATATATAAATCTTTTTGGAGTGCAGTACTTTCTTTTGATCTGAAGCCTCACCTACTGGTGATACAAGACATTTGTATAACTAGCTTTGCATAGTCCATGAAGCAGTTTGTTTCTCAAGAGTCCAAGATTTAGGTGTAATAAAATAATCAGAATAAAATAAGTCAAGGTTTGTTCCAGCCCTGATCCTAACAAGAAAAAAAAAACAGGAGAGGAAGAGTTCTGAAACAGAGGAACAATTTTTCTTAACCTACTAGCTGTGATTTATTGTTACAGCACTCTGCTCTAGCACTAAACAGCAATCCTTCCTGCTTCCAGGTAGAGAGCAACTTGAGTTGAATGCAGCTTAATCCCTCTGAATTTTTAAAAATGACTTTCAAAGGAAAAAAAAAATTGAACCAGCTGACCTCAAGTGATTTACAGTATTAGCCAGTAATTCAGATGCTTTGATAAACATCCAATAAGAAGCACTTGATTTAATATCTTTTCAGGGATGCAGTAGTTAACCACACACTGGGAAGGGACTAGCCTGCTTCCAAAAGTGGTTCAGACTCCACAACTCCATTATATCTTACCATGCAATCCCTACAGGTGAGTTCTGCTTGGCAGTATATCACAGTTTAAGAAACTTGGTATAGTTTATCCTTTAATAATGTAATTGTACAGGCAAAGTTCAGTAGAGCAATGGAAAGTCTCACTGAAGACAAAGTAAATCAGTGCTATGTCCAGGGCATGTTCGTAACTTGGAGATGGCTAAGGGAAATCTGAGTGACTATTTCTAGGTAGAAAATATTTTCACATTGCACTGGGAAAGGCTAGCAGGACCAGCTTGTATAAAGTTTTGCTGTGGGCTGACGTTTTGAACTGGCTCATAAGGATACTATGTTATGAGTCAATGACACAAGAAGATAAAACATTTGCAATGGTTATGGATTTCCTAACACAAAACTGTGTTGGGTAAAATCAGGCAAAGAATTATACTTGCTAAGGTACCTCTCTGGTAAGTAAGAGATACTATACAGTATAAGCCATAGCAGCAGGAACATTCCGTCTACTTGTGTTTCACAGAGCTCAGCAGTTTGCCACATGGCAATTGTGTATAATGGGAGCATATGGAGTAAGATGGGAAATGTCCTATAGTAGCGTAATGCTGAAAAGGTCACATTATTCATGCCCGGTCATGAGAAAACACCACAGATCATCTCCAAGTCACATGAATACATTTTATCCTGTTGTCACAATATAGAGCCCTGACAAAATCCCATTTCTTTTAATCATAAAGCACCCTCCATTTACTTCCTACCACACATGGCCATACTGACTTTGATGGCACTCTTGAGCTCCTCCATGTGGGTAAGAATTAAACCTCTTCTATTAGCTTCAAAAGAGTGAATCTCTTCAAAATTCCATCTCCAGAATAGAACACAGTTTCTCAGAAATACACATAGTAGTTGGGAAAGTTGCATTTTTTGTATGTCTTGTTCAGTAACAGCAGAATCACAGATTTCTGTCTTACCTACATTTTTGCTGTGCTTGCCACTGGACAATCCAGTTTCCCACAAGATTAAGCTCTATATAAGAGAGGAGCTTCAAACCAAATGTTGGAGCTCATTAGTGATTGCCCATTAGTTCCAGGTTACATCCATCTCCCTGAGATCTGCTCCTTCAATGTATTGGGTGGCTCTTGGATCTTGCATGAAATATCCAGCTTCCAGGGCTGATGGTATTTACTGAAACCCAGGGAATACAGAATATTCCCTGACTGGGGTGCAGTGAAAGCCAAAAATGTCTCTTTGCAGAGGCTGGCTGACTTGCACTGAGTTATTGCTCCCATGCTAAGTAAACTGTGAATGCATTCCAAAATCTGTGTTCAAATGAATCTTCCTTCAGTACTACAAACAAGTTGTGCAGTCCAAAGGAAAATCCAATTTCTCACATTTTAGGGGGAGAGGGAGAATACTTTAAAAAGTGTTTACAATTACCCAGCTGTTCCACAGTACATGAGAATTTAAAGTCCAAGTGCATGTTACTAATGCTGGTAAGTATAGAGCTTCTGAGTCATTACTTCACTGGCTATACCTATTGATGGGAAAGTCTGATTCTTTCATTTAGTTGTCTCCAGGTTAACGAATTTTGACCTAGGAATAGATTCCAGCTCTATACTTACTGGGGTTAACAATATGCAGTTGGACCTTTAACTGTTATTTAAATTCTTATGTACGATGGAGCAGAAAAGTAAGTCCATTAATAGTTATATCCAGTGAAGTACTGACTGAGAAAGAAAAGGAGAAAAAGATTCAGAGGAACTCAGAACAAAGTGAACGTTGCATCTGGCATCAAATTCTTCAGGCAAACAAGCTGCTCCATGCTACCACCAGTCCAGCAAACCTTTATGGTTTTATCCTAGTTGATTCCTCCAGAAAGAATTTTTCTAGATCCTTAAATCACACCACCTTTTTATAGTGTGTTTTAGTGAACCAGTACTTCATGAACTAGATGTTTAGCTGGTGTCAATTGCCCTGCCTAACTTCAGAGCTGTACTGATCTGTTACAGCAGGAGATTGAGCCAAGTCCCTCAATTGCTATTCAGCATGCAAAAAAAGGAATTGAATAAACATACCAGTGTGGATTAGAAACAGGACATCTTGTCATGCTGGAAAAAGTCCATTGCAGCATTAATTATCATTCAAGTAATTACATATATGCCTACTAATCACTGAGTCCTGTGCCAGCTGGCACTCTGCAGTAATGAATGAGAGCCATAATGAAACATATTGAGGGATATCATATCTTAACACACCTCTTCTCATTTAGGTAGTAGAGTCTAGATTTTTTTTTCCCAGACAGAATTAGGCAAAAATCTTACTGCTCTTCAGCAAGATGCTGGAGACTTTTGGAAAAATTCTCAAGTACAGAGAAAATATGACTACTAGGACATTCTGCAACCTCATAATTTAAATAATTTAATCTAGGCTTTAAAGGGTAGGCTTTGTTATTTTTTGTCTAGTAAACATTCTGACAATTTAGTCTCTGAATAAAACCAGGCAACTTCTACTGCAGTGAGGTAGACTGCTTAAAACTCACATCTCCACTTGCTAATGTCAGAGACCTCATTAAGCCATTATTTCAGGCTCACATTACCCTTCAGTACGAACCTGTTAGTGGTCCTCACCAGCCTGTCTGTGACAACACTGGAGAGGAAAATAGAACTATTTTTTGCCCTTCTCCCTTTGTCCTTTCTTTTGTACATGGGAGTCATGCCCACCTGCCTGTCCTTTACTGCACAAAGTAGGCTGTTCAACTGCTGCAAATGCCTGGTGTACCTAAAAACCACCATGCTTCAGCCAGAGAGAAATGGAGCATAAACAATTCAGCTCTCAAGGCAGAGGTGTGAAAAAGTGTTTCCTTTTGTTGACAAATGCCTAATGTTTTGCATTTATAGGAATTGCAGAGGGTATTTATATGTTAGCCTGTTTAGGTTAGTGTGTTGATCCAAGTTTGCAAAATAACAGCAATTTAAGCCCAGTATCCACTTGCCTGTTTAAAATGGAGAACAAAAAATTTTAACTAGCCTTCAGCAATAATACAATAAAGAAGAAACAGACCAGCTCCCCAGACAGCAGTTAATGTATGCTTACATGCTCCAACAAGGTATCTAGATCAATTAGTGCAACTGAGAAACATGGCTACGTAATGCTGCGTAAGTTCCATGCTGGCATTCCTTTGGTCAAAGGCAAGAATGAACAGAAATGTACGATTCAGTAATCAGAGCCATAGTTAGGATGTCTGGATTCTTGACTCGACTGTATCCTAGAGTTTGAGGGTGGCTAATTGTCTCCAAATTTCTCCACCTGAGACAGGAATGGTGGCTATTCCTAGCTTTCAAGGAGCACTGAGAGGCTTTACTTGCTTTTGTTTGCAAATGCTCAGAGAATCTCAAGCAGGCATTAAGAACAAGGGTGCTAGAGGAGAGGAGCACTGGGAATTCACAGAGAGCACCCAATTTTCACTGAGAAGTCTGCTAGGTTCCTGTATGCTTGTTTCATGGTTGGTGGCAGGCACTACAGTTGCTGGCATGCACAGTATGATTCTCTGCACAGCCACACACTGTTTTCAGATTATCCCTATACTTCAGGTTTTCTGGGGTGCAAGACCAGTCAATCTCCATTTAAAAGCAGCTGTCATAACAGAATACTAGTGGAAGGCAGTTGGAGCAAACTCCTCAGATCATGGACACCACTTGGCTAAAAAGATATTTTGGCTCCAGAGTTTAAAATCAACCCATAGCCCTTCCTGCAGTGCACTGCTCATCTGTGGGACCTGTGGGTCCAGGATTCAAGCAGAAGATGGATGATTTCTTGGAGGATAAATGCACTGAGTGCTTTTAACCAGACATAAGAAACCTCCTTCTCAGGAAACCTCTTGAGCTAAAAATACTCAAAGTCTTCAAGTTGGGACAAAGTATATGTATTTACTTGATATCCCCCAACCCCCTGGCACCTACTCATGGTCACAGTTGCTGCCAAGTTACTTGACTAGCTGGACCACTGGTCTGACCCATGATGGTTGTTCTACATTTGTAGCTACAGTAAGGAATTAATGTATCACTGTTCGTGCTCTGGTCTCTTAAGTTCCAAACTTATTCACCAATCCCAGTGCCCACTGTAGTAAACTATTACAGACCATATGGGACCCAAAAGACAAGCCAGCTCCACAAAGCAAGCATGATCACAGAACGAATAAAAAAGACTAACCTTTCCAAGCCTGTCAAAGATCGTTGAGAGATGCAAGCACAGACCTGTGGATAGAAGTTGTTCATGGAAATTAATTCAATTTGCTTAGCGTTAACCATCAGGAAGAAATTATTTTTGAGCCAAAGAAAGCAAATGCTAGACTTAAATTCACACTCGTCCCTCAGTCTGCTTTCAGTGCTAAAGGCTACAATTTCCTGGCTGAGGAAGCACCTCCAAGAGAGAGGCTGACAGGAATGATACCATTTACAACACCTGCTAGAAGCACAACTAAGAGCTGTACAAAAACAGGCTAGCTAAAGATTTGCCCCTGAAGTTTTGTAGCTTGATGAAATCACCATATGAGAATCATAGTGAAAGACATGCAAGAAAGCAGAAACATACAGTGTTTTGGCTGAACTAGAAGCCAGTGAGACAAAAAGATCCACTCTTACTCCATGCAGTATAGGCAGGAAATATGAAAATGTGGCACTGCATGTGATGGGATTTTGTAAATGTTAGTTCAAAAGTGGGCATGGAAGGAGAGACAAGGAAAGAAAGCAGGAGAGAAATGAGTTGGCCCTGGGAAAAAAAACCCAAACCAAAACAAAAAAAAAACACAAGTTACAGAGAGATATTTAAATCTCCAAAAGAGTAACTCAAAATTGTCCTGTTTATCCTTTCCCTTTGAAAAAAAGTATTGGATTTATTTATTTTTAAATTTCAAATAGATAACATTCCCTTGCTATTTGAACATTGGTTTGTACTTAGGCCTTGTAATTACTAGACTGAAGGGAAAACATTTCAAAAGCCTGATCTAGCACTGGTAGCATGAAACTTTTACTCAGGTTAGCTCCCATTACTCAAATGAGACAAACTGAGAAAAAAGTTCCTGCTAGAACCCAAAGATGATTAGTAGCAGAATAAGTTCACTTAAATTGCCCCAGAGTGCATCAGCTTCAGCCTTCCTTTCCAATAAATTCAAAACAGCTCTGACTTTGAGGCTGCATGTTGCCCAGCCTTCTAAAGACTGCTGCAATGTATCAATTGAGAATCACTCTACACCATACCAAACAAGGGCCCAGAGTGAAGACAGTCCTGAGCATCTTTCGGATTAATCAGATCAGACTGAACACTTACCACAATGTCCTTCCTAACCAACTTTTAAGTTCAATTGCAATTAAAGTTTCTCCAGCTGAAGAAATTACTATGCTGTTGCATTTTGATTCAATGACTCATACTTGGGCTTCTAAAATCTCTAGATCTCTCAAGTGAAATGTATCTCTGTACAGATTTTAAAAGGTTCTTCTCTGCCTTAAACAAGTGGTACCCATCCTTCAAATTCTAGTCTCTACCTATGAACTCTGAATTATGTTAATATATTAACATAATATATTAAGCCTGGATTGATGTAAACATCCATTACTATGCATTTTTTTATTACATAATTTTATCTTTATTACATATACTCTTACTGTTAAAGGAAATACACTGCAATACCTGGTCTGAAGGTTCTTGAAAATCAGGACAGTTTGTATTAGCATACTGTGAAGATCATTTTCTAGTATCATCACTGGGAATCCATAAATATTAATTTTTTTCCTCATATAATCAGCAAATAGATTAAAAATCAAGTGCCACAAAACAATTCTGCTGCAGCATTTCCAGCATTTTCACATAGAATCATAGAATCTTAGGGGTTGGAAGGGACCTCGAAAGATCATCTAGTCCAACCCCCCTGCCAGAGCAGAGTCACCTAGAGTACATCACATAGGAACGCATCCAGGTGGGTTTTGAATGTCTTCAGTGAGGGAGACTCCACAACCTCCCTGGGCAGCCTGTTCCTGTGCTCTGTCACTCTGACAGTAAAAAAAATTTTTCGGATATTCACCTTGAACCTCCTATGCTCCAATTTACACCCATTACCCCTTGTCCTATCACTGGTCATCACTGAGAAAAGCCTAACTCCATCCCCCTGACACTCACCCCTTACATATTTGTAAACATTGATGAGGTCACCCCTCAGTCTCCTTGACATGTCCCATCAGCAAAACAGAAATATTGCTTGACCTGCCCTTTACTCTGATCTT